ATGCTTTTATGTAACATGTTACCAAACACACACTCAGCATGGATGACTGATTCTTTGCAATCTTCCTCCATTAGCTGGAAGGTATCAGTCTGGCTGAAAGCAACTTACTGCTCTTTGCATGCAGAAGATTGTAGTGGAGGGAGCAGGTACAGAAAAAGGCAAGTGTGTTTCCTTGGGTCTTCTCTATAACAACACTGAATGGGAGGGCATTACTTTCCTGCAGCTCCAGACAACTATAGCAAAATGTTTGGAAAAGCCAGCATTGCCTAGCAACATCATCTGGGTTGGTCTGTCAATGAATAAGCAAGTATATAAATGTAAGAAAGTGTCATCAGAAATTAAAATAAACCCACAACCCAAACAACAAACCAAAACCAAAATGAACCAGCCCACAATCCCAGATATCCTCAGATGCCATTAATCAAAACAGCCTGTGGAGCTGCACTGGTTCCTGGTTTCATTAGAAATGCCAGTTCACCTTGGAATTGATGCTTGCTGGAGAGTGCTTGCTACCATGCCTGTGTGGCCAGAGGGTGGCCACAAATTTGAAGTCAAATCAATCAAATAGGTTTAAGCCCCAGATCTCTTCTCATATGCTTCTGCCTCAAAAAGCAATGCTCTGATGGTTGATACTGCTGTTAATCACAAAACATGCAACAATCACGTAGGATCTCGATGCTGAGCCCAAGGGATGTAATTTCTTGTGAAGAGTCAAGATTTGAGTTTGGGAACAGCCTTTGTGTGCCAGAGGAAGGAGGGAGAGAAGTCTGTTTCTGCTGTATGTGTCAATGAGACAGCTAGAAAATACTCTAAAACACTCCCTGTTTGCAGCTTATCCCACACAGCCATTATAACAATTGAGGGGAAAGAGGAATCACTTTTCCATTAGAGCCTTGTAAGAACCATTAACAAAGTTTAGTGTAGCATATACTGAGAAAATTGCTTCTCCTATTCACTGATGATTTAAAAACATCAAAACATAAAAACCCAACAGCAAGAGATACCCTATTTATTCGTGAAGACCAGCAGCTCCCCCCACCTATGTATAGTATTCCACAAGGTTGCAAAATAAGTAATCCCAGTCCAATGCCACTATTAAGACTGATACACACAGAAGCTAAGAAAATATTCCTGAAACCTCAGCTTCACATTTTCTGATTTTATATGTGATGTTTTATCTGATGTTTGAACTAATCTTTGATAGCTATGCTGAAACACATTTTCCTTTTGCATATACCTCCATGACCTTCCTTCTGCCTTCCCCATCACCCAGATCATGAATCTGATAAGCCACGAGGCATTTCAGCAGTTTGACATGAAGGTTTATTTTCGGAGCACACATGGTGCTGTTACAGGTAACATCCACTCCAGTGTTCAGCTAGGAAATGGAAACTGGTCTTTTCTATTAGCTTCCATTTATTTTCTTCCAGCTAATAAAACACAGACCAGGACTGCATCCCCCTCCTTTTTTAATAAAGGGCTACATCCCAGGCATTGTTTTAAGCCCTGAGGAGTTAAAGGAACAAGCAGAAGAAAAATATCTCTGTTCTTGAGATTACTTTTATTATACAGCAGTGTTGCAATTACAACATGCAGTTCCTGTACTAGAAGACAGTAATTCCAGTACCATATGGCTTCAGAATCTCATTACACTGATCTGCTTAAAGTGATTTCTTAACAGACAAGCAAAACATTTTTGGTCACCTTCAGCAGAGGGAAACAACAACTTTGCCACTGTTGACGCACATTTACTCCCACGCAAACTGCCAAAAGCAGGAGTAAGTGAAGATCAGAGGACAACCCAGTCAAAGAGCTTTTGTTGCCATGTCAAAGCTCTGTAGACAGCCAGGGTTAATCAAGGACTGTTACCATTATAAAAAAAAAAAAGAAAAAAAAAGAAAAAAGAAAACAAACTGAACCAAACCAAGCCAGTGCCATCACTGCTGGATTAGAGAAGCTTCCCAGGAGATCAGGAGATGAGCAGAACCTTCACTGGCCAAGCAGTGGGCACCAGTTGCTGCTGCACCTGCAGGGTTTATTTTATCTGGCCCTCTTGACCTCTGCAGATCACCAAGAACAGAAGGCATTTCTGTCCTGCTAGGCATTTGCTTGGCAAGATCAACAGATTCCCAGAGTTACCAATCTGTAACTGGCACAGGGGTAAAGAGCAGCAAGATCAGGGTTTAGGCTTGGATGCAAAGTTATTCCAGTCTTGATAAAGAAACTGCTTAAGGACCTATGTGAGACAAAGGGCCTTTCTGAGCAATACATACCCAAAACACAGCTCTTGGCTTAAAGAGTCAGGGGAATAAACTGAAGGACAAGCAAAGGGAA